CACGCGCTCATGGCACCAATGACAGCGCAACTGCCCTGAGCTGTCATTCAGTGCCTTCTGGTCTTACCTGCTTCCTGAATCTGCGAACCTGTACCCTGTAAGTTGCTGACCCGGATTGTACCTGCCCACTCTGTATTCTCCTACTCTGACCCTTGGCTTGCCTGACCTCTCTCCCGGATGCCCCCTATTGGATCTGATACTCTGACCTGGCGTGTGACCCGACTATTCTCTGCCCTCCGCTTTGTACCGCACCGTCCCCACGGCTACCGACCCGGCTTGTCTCACATTGCACTTGCTCAGCCATCCATCCATCCATCCCATCGGGGTCTCCCGACCTCCTCATATCAGGCTCTCCCCTGTTGGAGCCCCTAGCGAACACCCCTACCACTGACGGGTGTACTCAGTAGTCACGACCTGGTCTCGGGGTACTCCAAGTCCATCCCCACCATAAGGGGCCCTGGTGAACAAGTACTCTGGGGCTTAGATTCCGCGCTCTGGGGACACCTGACCAGTGGAGTGCTAGTGGTGCCGTCAGGCGGTCCGTTACAGGCTGTCAGGCCTAAGAAGAGGAAGTTGAAGAATTCTCCCATTGATCATGGAAACAGAGGGCGATCAAAGCACCCTCCTGCTCTGAAATTTGATCTGCTAACCCAGGACTTTGGCAAGTACTTTAACCCCTTAACCTCCTTTCTATGATCTCTTTACTGTGCTGTTGTTCTCTGTATATTTATATATATTTGGTTACATCTTTGTTCTGTAAATATTTTATTGCACCCCCTTTTGACTTTTCAGTAATAAATCTTTCCTTCTGAAAGTGTTGAACTGTTTCTATAGCTCTTAATTGCAATTTATGAATTTCTGCCTCTAAAGAGAACGCTACTGTGTTTGTTTAATCCTCTGTATAACCGGCCTGCAGTGACCGTGTTATACAGACGATTACCTTAACCATTATAGTGTTATTGCGGATATCACCGAGTTTCCTCTTTCTCTGTACAAAAAGGAGGTGGTGGCAGTGTGAAGGGTTAATTGCATAATTAACCTGACCCAGTAACAATCGCTCAGGCTGCCAGTACATCGATTGTGGTCCAATTAGCTGGAAAATCGTTGTGCAGGGTGCAGCTGGGTGGGTGTGGCATTGTTACGCATGTGACATCACGATTTTAGATTGGCTAGTCCTTCGGTTACGAGTTTGGTGAGAAGGGCTGGGGTCTGACACCGCGGTCGTCACATATTGGTGACAGTGATCGTGGGATCGTTGCATATTGGTGGCAGCGATCCCATGTTCGTCACATGTGTGAGACTTTTTGGGAGCCTAGCCACATACAGGAGCCTGAAATACAATGACCACTTTGAAAGCCTGAAGGTGCTTAACTTTCTCATTTCACTTCCTCGCTACCTATCACAGTTTCGAAGGCCCTGAAATGCCAGGATAGCACCACCACCACCCCCCCCCCCCCCCCAAATTACCCCTTTCTGGAAAGTAGACACCCCAAGGAATTTAAAAAGAGGCATGGTGAGTATTTTTCAGATCTCATTTCTTCTCACAAGGTTTTGATATATAAAAAAAAACAGAAAAATATGTTTTTGTTTTTTCTCTTCATTTTCCAAAAACTTGTGGCAACAAATGAGATCTGTAAAATACTTACCATGCTCCTTATCAAATTCCTTGGGGTGTCTACTTTCCAAAAAAGGGTCATTTGGGGGGTTAGGTGCTATCCTGGCATTTCACGGCCTCCGAAACTGTGATAGGTAGTCTGGTTGTGTAATGAGGAAATAAAGTCCTTTGAAAGCCTGAAGGTGCTTATTGGATTTTGGGGTCCTGTACTTGGCTAGACTGCCAACGTCTCTCACATTAGTACCCCCCCATACTCAGGAGAAGTAGCAGAATGTATTTTGGGGAGCAATTCCATATATACCCATGGCTTGTGTGAGCAGTAAATCATTTAAGTGACAATTTTGTGTAAAAAATGAAAAATAAAACTTTTGTCATTTTCCCAAAAAATTAATTCTTCTATTGATTCAACATGCCTCTCAGCAAATAGTTTGGGGTGTCTACTTTCCAAAAAGGGGTCGTTTTGGGGGGGTGGGGGCGTTTTATGCCCAGCATTACAAGTTTATGCCACACATCACTCACTCTTCTAACCACCTGAAAATCAAGCCTTCTCTGACACTTTTTTCTTCACATGAAAAAAATCAGTATTTTTTGCTAGAAAATTAATTTAAACCCCCAAGCATTATATATTTTTTAAAGCAGACACTCTAGTGAATAAAATGGTGGGTACTACAATTTTTTATGGCACATAGTACTCACGCAGCAATTTTTTTAAAAGCAATTTTTTAAAAAAAAATACACTTTTTTTACTTGTAATGCACAAAAACACAATATACTGGCCAATTATTTGGTAAGATATAAAAGATGATGGTATGCCGAGTAAATATATACCAAACATGACATGCTTTAAAACTGCTCATGCCCCGTGCAATGGCGACAAACTGCATACATTTTTAATATCCATAGGCCACACTTTAAGAGCCTTTAAAAGCTACCATTTTAGATTTACAGAGGAGGTCTAGTGTTAGGATTACTGCCCTTGATCTGACGTTCACGGCGATACCTCACATGTATGGTGCAACCGCTGTTGACATACCGACACAGGGTCCATGCTTTTGCACACAGGTGTGCGTGCATGGGAGGGTTTTTTTTTTTTTTTTTTTAAAGTTATTTTGATTTTTTAAATTATTTTTACACTGTACCTTTCATTGTTTTTTTGATCACCTTTAATGCTATCACAGGAAATGCAAATATCCCCTATAACTTCAATGGGCATTGTCATACATTCTTTTTTGATAAATCTGGGGTCTATCAGGCTCTAGATATCTCCTCTGCCCTTACATTATTTAATCAAACCAAACCAAAATTGGTGTGATCAGATGCTTTCCCAATTTACAAATGGCACTGTTTATATCAAGCGAAACTGAAGTGATGAAATGCTCCTGGCTTCCGAATTCTTAGACTATAGAGATGATTGGCACCACTCTGGTCTCCAATCAGCTCTATGGTCAGCTGGCAGAAACACCGGCTGCATTCTCAGGTTCCCCCGATGGCATGGGACTGCCCGAGAAGGCCGTGGAGGGCAGCAGGGGAGGGCATCATATCCCGCTGCTTGTAAATGCAATCCTGCAGCTAATTAGCCACTAGGATTGCTTTTACATGAAAGCCGATCGCCGGCTGAAAAAAAATAATACCAGGATGATGCCTGCAGCTGTAGGCATCACCCTGGTATAACAATTCAAAGTCCAGTGATGTACCAGTACTTCGATGGTCCTTGTTGGGTGTATATGCTATGTTATTTTTTTTTTTTTGTATGCAGCCTGTGGACTGAATGGAAAAAGAGAATAAATTTCTGCCAGAAAAAGTGTGTGGTATGCCCACCATTAGAATACCACCCCGCATCCACCCACTTCTAATGGTGGGCACATATTAGGTCACACTTTTCCTCAAGCACCAGTTCCAAGATTGTACAAATGTCTAAATAGTGGCACGCTTGAATAACAATTGTCCACGTATCAGTGGTACCCCATATGGAAAAAGGATGACACCAAGTCCCAAACTATCTTGCCACTGCTCCCCATGTAGTCTGGGCATCCGGGGGGCTCCGCGTGACTATCTTTTCCCTCATAAATCCGAAACTTATAAGTATAGCCTGTTGCCCTCTCACAGGTCTTCTACATCTTGACCCCATATCTGGCACTCTTGCCGGGGAGAAATTGTTTGAATGCAAGGCGGCCAGAAAAATGAATGAGGGGCTCATCAACGCAGATGTTTTGCTGGGGAGTATAGACATCTGCAAATTTTTGGTTAAGGTGATTTACGAGGGGCTGAATTTTGTGGAGCCCATCAAATTCAGGGTCACCCCGAGGATGACAGAGTGTATTGTCGTTGAAATGCATAAAACACATTATACTCTCATATCTATGCCTACCCATGGCAGCAGAGAACACGGCATATGATGAATCAGGTCTGCGGACCAATACAACCGCAATTCATTTCTTTTAGTAATGCCCATGTTGAAGGTTAGGCCCAAAAAAAATGTAAATTCAGAAACCGTAATGAGTTTCCATGTGACTGGTCTGGCAAGGTTTCAATTTGGGTTGGCGGCGATAAATTGTTGTGCATATAAATTGCTTTGATCCACAATCAACACATACAGATATTCAGTGAAAAACAGCTCCAAAAATCAAGGAGGTATGGGAAAGACCAAGATGTACTAGACCGCTGGTACTCGCCAGTTCACCAAAAGGTAGCTCGGCACTAGTACTGGCACTCTGCTGCATATGAGAGTCATCAAAATCGTGTGCGAATTCTTGGTGGTTGCGAGACAATACTTGTGCTGGCCACCGCACCAGCTTGTACTGCACTTATGGGACTCGCCACGTCACCAAGTGATACTGCAGTGCTGGTATTATTATTATGATTTATTTTTTTACACACCTTTCCGAAAAATGACAAAAACATTTTGTCCCTTTAATTTTTTTTTTATCATTTTTAATGCTATCACAGGAAATGCAAATATCCCCTATAACTTCAATGGGTATTGTCATATATTCTTTTTTGAGAAATCTGGGGTCTATCAGACTAGATATCTCTTCTGCCCTTACATTATGTAATCAAACCAAAATTGATGTGCACAGATGCTTTCTCAATTTACAAATGACGCTGTTTATATCCTGTGAAACTGAAGTGATGAAATGCTTGATACCACTGTCCCTTTAATTTTTTTTTTCCATCACTTTTAATGCTATCACAGGGAATGCAAATATCCCCTATAACTTTAATGAATTTTGTGGAGCCGGTCAAATTCAGGGTCACCCCGAGGACAACAGAGTGTATTGTCGTTGAAATGCATAAAACACATTATACTCTCATATCTATGCCTGGCCATGGCAGCACAGAACACGGGCATATGATGAATGGGGTCTGTGGACCAATACAACCGCAATTAATTTTTTATAGTAATGCCCATGTTGAGGGTTAGGCCTAAATAAATAATAAATTTGGAAACCATAATGGGTTTCCATGTGAATGGTCTGGCAAGGTTTGAATTTGGGTTGGCGGCGATAAATTGTTGTGCATATAAAATGATTGAGCCACAATCAATGCATACAGATCTTCCGTGAAAAACAGCTCCAAAAATCAAGGGGAGGTGTTAAATTTGCTGTTTCCACCTGAATTCTGGGTTGGGCAGTGAATGGGGGGAAGTACGGGTGCTGCAGAATTTGTGGGCTGCCAATCGGGATTTACAAGCACATCCGGAAGCATAGTAGGGGCTGTACGGGCCTGTGTGCGAATTCTTGGTGGTTGCGAGACAATACTTGTGCTGGCCACCGCACCAGCTTGTACTGCACTTATGGGACTCGCCACGTCACCAAGTGATACTGCAGTGCTGGTATTATTATTATGATTATTATTATACAGGATTTATATGGCACCAACAGTTTGCTCAGCGCTTTACAATATAAGAGGAGACAATACAGCAACAATACAGTGCAATACAAGAGGGTTAGGAGGGCCTGATCCTGGGAGATTAAAATCTAAGAGGTATGTGAAAGACCAGGATGTACTAGACCGCTGGTGCCCACCAGTTCACCAAAAGTTAGAGCGGCACTGGTACTGGCACTCTGCTGCATATGAGAGTCATCACAATTTACTGGCAAGTGCTAACAGAGATCTGGCCTGATTCTGCAAACACTGCGGTTTTGTGTGCAATGTATCAAGTGACAGTGACCTACTGACACTGCACTTGCTGAGGGAGAAGGGGGGGGTAAGCATAGGGGCTAAATGCAGGTGCCGGGGCTGATCCCGCTAACGCTGAGTTTTTGGGGACGCTATACTAATGTAAATGCTGGTATAGTGCTGATCTGATCAAAGATATTGATCCGTTCAGACACTATACTAGCAATGGAGGTTTATTGTGCATGAGTGTGCTCCTGGCAGTCAAGGGATAAATGTGATGACTGGTGGAGGGGCAATCTGACCCTATCTGGGAGGGGCGTGAAAACCAAGGGAGCGCAAATCATGTATGTATATATATACACCCTGTTCCAAATTATTATGCAAATTCTATTTAAGTGTCACAAAGATGAAATATTTTGTTTTTTCAGTTTAACTCATGGATGGCATTGTGTGTCAGGGCTCTTTTGATCACTGAAAACAATCTCGGACGCCTGTGATAATTAGAATGGCAGGTGAGCCCAATTTAAGGAAAAACTACTAAAGGAGGGTGTTCCACATTATTCAGCAGAGCACTATTTTCAAGCAGTATGGGGAAGAAAAAGGATCTCTCTGCTGCCGAAAAGAGTGAAATAGTTCAATGCCTTGGACGAGGTATGAAAACGTTAGATATTTCACGAAAACATAAGCATGATCATTGCACTATTAAGAGATTTGTGGCTGATTCAGAGCACAGACGGGTTTGTGCAGATAAAGGCACACTGAGGAAGATTTCTGCGAGATCCATGCATCGGATCAAGAGAGCAGCTGCTAAAATACCATTACATAGCAGCAAAAAGATATTTGAAGCTGCTGGTGCCTCTGGAGTCCCATGGACATCAAGGTGTAGTGTCCTCTAGAGTCTTGCAACTGTACATAAACCTTCTATTCGGCCACCACTAACCAATGCTCACAAGCAAAAACGGCTGCATTGGGCAGAAAAATACATGAAGACTAATTTTCAAACAGTCCTGTTCACTGATGAGTGCCGTGCAACCCTGGATGGTCCAGATGGATGGAGTAGTGGATGGTTGGTGGACGGCCACCCTGTTCCAACAAGGCTGCGACGTCAGCAAGGCGGTGGTGGAGTCATGTTTTGGGCCGGAATCATGGGAACAGAGCTGGTCGACCCCTTTAGGGTCCCCGAAGGAGTAAAGATGACCACTGCAAAGTATGTGGAATTTATGACTGACCACTTTCTTCCCTGGTACAGAAGGAAGAACTATGCTTTCCATAATAAAATCATCTTCATGCATGACAATGCACCATCTCATGCTGCAAAGAATACCTCTGCATCAATGGCTGCTATGGGGATAAAAGGGGAGAAAGTCATGGTGTGGCCTCCACCATCCTCCCCAGACCTCAATCCTATTGAGAACCTTTGGAACATCCTCAAGCAAAAGATCTATGAGGGTGGGAGGCAGTTTACATCCAAACAGCAGCTCTGGGAGGCTATTTTGACATCTTGCAAACAAATTCAAGCAGAAACTGTCCAAAAACTCACAAGTTCAATGGATGCAAGACTTGTGAAGCTGCTATCAAATAAGTAGTCCTATTTTAAAATGTAACGTGACCTGTTAAAATGTTTAAAAAGTTAAAATGTTATTAAAAGTTTGATTGAAATAGCTTTTGATTTTAGTAAATATGCTGCAAACACAACAAATGACAATTTTCAGTTCTTTACAACCTATAAAGTGTTTTGAAACTTACTGTGCGTAATAATTTGGAACAGTGCATTGTAAGTTTTTTATATTTAAAAAAAAATAATGTTATCCTTAGGAGGTTTGTTCAATAAAATTTGAATTGTACTCTTAATAGTTAACATGAGAATTATGCTGACTGTTATTTACATCAATTATTTAGGTAAATGAGAAAAATATAATTTGCATAATAATTTGGAACAGGGTGTATATACAGTGGGGATCGAAAATTTGGGCACCCCAGCTAAAAATTTGTATTAATGTGCATAAAGAAGCCAAGGAAAGATGGAAAAATCTCCAAAAGGCATCAAATTACAGATTAGACATTCTTATAATATGTCAACAAAAGTTAGATTTTATTTCCATCATTTACACTTTCAAAATAACAGAAAGCAAAAAAATGGCGTCTGCAAAAGTTTGGGCACCCTGCAGAATTTATAGCATGCACTGCCCCCTTTGCCAAGCTGAGACCTGCCAGTGTCATGGATTGTTCTCAAGCATCATCTGGGAAGACCAGGTGATAATCAATCTCAAAGGTTTTAAATGCCCAGACTCATCTGACCTTGCCTCAACAAACCGCACCATGGGTTCTGCTAAGCAGTTGTCTAGAAAACTGAAACTAAAAATAGTTGACGCTCACAAAGCTGGAGAAGGCTATAAGAAGATAGCAAAGCGTTTTCAGATGTCAATATCCTCTGTTCGGAATGTAATTAAGAAATGGCAATCATCAGGAACAGTGGAAGTTAAAGCAAGATCTGGAAGACCAAGAAAAATATCAGACAGATCAGCTCGCAGGATTGTGAGAAAAACAATTCAAAACCCACGTTTGACTGCACGATCCCTCCAGAAAGACCTGGCAGACACTGGAGTTGTGGTACACTATTCCACTATAAAGAGATACTTGTACAAATATGGTCTTCATGGAAGAGTCATCAGAAGAAAACCTCTTCTACGTCCTCACCACAAAAAATCATCATTTTTGAACTTTGCAAATGAACATATAGACAAGCCTGATGCATTTTGAAAACAAGTTCTGTGGACCGATGAGGTTAAAATTGAACTTTTTGGCCGGAATGAGCAAAGGTACGTTTGGAGAAGAAGGGGCACAGAATTTAATGAAAACAACCTCTGTCCAACTGTTAAGCATGGGGTTGGATCAATCATGCTTTGGGGTTGTGTTGCAGCCAGTGGCACAGGGAACATCTCACGAGTAGAAGGAAAAATGGATTCAATAAAATTTCAGCAAATTTTGGATGGTAACTTGATGCCATCTGTGAAAAAGCTGAAGTTAAAGAGAGGATGGCTTCTACAAATGGATAATGATCTTAAACACACCTCAAAATCCACGGGGGATTACATCAAGAGGCGTAAACTGAAGGTTTTACCATGCCCTTCACAATCTCCTGACCTCAACATAATTGAAAATTTATGGATAGACCTTAAAAGAGCAGTGCGTGACAGACAGCCCAGAAATCTCAAAGATCTGGAAGACTTTTGTAAGGAAGAATGGGCAAAGATACCTCAAACAAGAATTGAAAGACTCTTGGCTGGCTACAAAAAGCGTTTACAAGCTGTGATACTTGCCAAAGGGGGCAGTACAAGATATTAACTCTGCAGGGTGCCCAAACTTTTGCAGACGCCATTTTTTGTTTTCTGTTATTTTGAAAGTGTAAATGATGGAAATAAAATCTAACTTTTGTTGACATATTATAAGAATGTCTAATCTGTAATTTGATGCCTTTTGGAGATTTTTCCATCTTTCCTTGGCTTCTTTATGCACATTAATACAAATTTTCAGCTGGGGTACCCAAACCTTCGATCCCCACTGTATATACAGTGGGGCAAAAAACTATTTAGTCAGCCACCAATTGTGCAAGTTCTCCCACTTAAAAAGATGAGAGAGGCCTGTAATTGGCATCATAGATAGACCTCAACTACGAGAGACAAGATGAGAAAAAAAAATCCAGACAATCACATTGGCTGATTTGGAAAGAATTTATTTGCAAATTATGGTGGAAAATAAGTATTTGGTCATCTGTGGGAGCAATAATTAGAAAATGGAAGACATACAAGACCAATGATAATCTCCCTCGATCTGGGGCTCCACGCAAGATCTCACCCCGTGGGGTCAAAATGATCACAAGAACGGTGAGCAAAAATCCCAGGACCACACGGGGGGACCTAGTGAATGACCTGCAGAGAGCCAGGACCAACGTAACAAAGGCTACCATCAGTAACACACTACGCCGCCAGGGACTCAGATCCTGCTGTGCCAGACGTGTCCCCCTGCTTAAGCCAGTACATGTCCGGGCCCGTCTGAAGTTTGCTAGAAAGCATTTGGCTGATCCAGAAGAGGATTGGGAGAATGTCATATGGTCAGATGAAACCAAAATAGAACTGTTTGGTAGAAACACAACTCGTTGTGTTTGGAGGAGAGAGAATGCTGAGTTGCATCCAAAGAACACCATACCTACTGTGAAGCATACTGCCCGGGCAACGAAGGAGTGGCTTTGTAAGAAGCATTTCAAGGTCCTGGAGTGGCCTAGCCAGTCTCCAGATCTCAACCCCATAGAAAACCTTTGGAGGGAGTTGAAAGTCCATGTTGCCCAGCGACAGCCCCAAAACATCACTGCTCTAGAGGAGATCTGCATGGAGGAATGGGCCAACATACCAGCAACAGTGTGTGCCAACCTTGTGAAGACTTACAGGAAACGTTTGACCTCTGTTATTGCCAACAAAGGATATATAACAAAGTATTGAGATGAATTTTTGATATTGACCAAATACTTATTTTCCACCATAATTTGATAATGTGATTGTCATGATTTTTTTTTCTCATTTTGTCTCTCATAGTTGAGGTCTACCTATGATGCCAATTACAGGCCTCTCTCATCTTTTTAAGTGGGATAACTTGCACAATTGGTGGCTGACTAAATACTTTTTTGCCCCACTGTGTGTGTATATATATATATATATATATATATATATATATATATATGTGTGTGTGTGTGTGTGTGTGATTTTGCTCACCCATGCCGCCCTGTAGCAGTATTTCTGCTATAGGGTGGTCAGGAAGCAGTTACAGAAGCGGTTTGTGTTACATCACTGCATTACTTTAACTGACAAATGCGTGGTCATGCAACACTGCACCTAAATTAAATTTTTTCCCCACGAATTGAGCTTCTCGTTCGGTGGTATTTGATCGCCTGTGCATTTTTTATTTCTTGCGCTATTAAAAAAAAAAAAAAGGCTGACAATTTTGAGAAAAAAAAACTATATTTTGGACTTTTTGCTATAAAACATGTCCAGTGAAAAAATTTAAAAATCAAATTTCGTCATAAATTTCAGCCAAAATGTATTCTGCGACATGTCTTTGCTAAAACAAAAATCCCAATACGTGTAAATTAATTGGTTTACATGAAAGTTATAGCGTCTACAAATGGCGGGAAAGATACTGGGATTTTTTTTATACTAATAATGGCGGTGATCAGCGATTTATGACACAGTAATCGGCGACTTATGACGGGACTGCGGCGGACATTTTGACATTGGGGGGGAACTGACTTGGGGGTCGCTGACATCCCCAGTGACACCAATACAGTGATCAGTCCAAAAAAAAAACACTGACTGTCAGGGCTCCGGGGTGTGACCAGAGGTATGTGACTGACGCAGGGAAACGCAGGCTTCAGATAAGTTATAAACAATATAATTTATTAAAGACTAACAATACAAACATAAACGCAGTGCAATACTAAAACATAACACAGTGCAAACAAACCAAACCAAACCACCCACAGATAACAGTACATACAATGCAAGCGTCGTCAGGTAGGTACAGGGGGTCAGGCAGAGAATGGTCGGGGTCACAAGCCAGGGATAAAACAGGAGAAGTCAGCAGAGGTCCGGATCAGGCAGGGTCAGCAACGAATCAGACAGAGACAGGGACAGGAACAGGGATGCAGGGCCCAGGAAAAACACACACCAAGGCAGAGACTGCAGGTCTGGCCATCCCTTAAATACACCTGCATGATCAACTTCAGGTGTTTGGCTCGCTGGCTGCAGGGTTGAGTCTCTGATTACCGGGAGCACCCGCTGGCCAGCCCTGGTACTGTAGCCCACAAGGCAGGTGGGTCCCACCATTACTGGCAAGTCCATTCCTGACAATACCCCCCCTCAAGGAGCGGCCTCAGGACGCTCCAAACAGTCCTAGCTGGGCAAAATGTTCCACCGCCCGGGTCTGGTAACTGGCGGGATATCAAAGACTGGCACATCGGGCAGGACTCCGGGCAGCGGCACATTGGGCTGGACTCCGGGCAGCGGCACACCGGGCAGGACTCCAGGCAGGACTCCGGGCAGCGGCACACCGGGCAGAGGCACATCGAGCTGGACTCCGGGCAGCGGCACATTGGGCAGGACTCCGGGCAGCGGCACATTGGGCAGGACTCCGGGCAGCGGCACATCGGGCAGGACTCCGGGCAGCAGCACATCGGGCAGGACTCCGGGCAGAGGCACATCGAGCAGGACTCCGGGCAGAGGCACATCGAGGTGGACACCGGATCACCAGACGGAGCAGCGGGCACCGGGCCACCAGGTGGTGCAGCGGGCGCCGGGCCACCAGGTGGAGCAGCGGGCGCCAGGCCCCCAGGCGGAGCGACAGGCATCGGGCCCCCAGGCCGGGCGCCGGGCCCCCAGGCGGGCACCGGGCCCCCAGGAGGGGCGGCAGGCATCGGGCCCCCAGGCGGGGCGGCGGGCCCCCAGGCAGGGCGACAGGCATCGGGCCCCCAGGCGAAGCGGCGGGCGCCGGGCCCCCAGGCGGGGCGGCGGGCACCAGGCCCCCAGGAGGGACGATGGGCATCGGACCCCTAGGCGGAGCGGCGGGCACCGGGTCATCAGGCACGACAACGGGCATCGGGTCACCAGGCATCAGGTCATTTGGCTCGCCAGTGGGCACCGAGTCACCAGGCACGACAGTGGGCTCTGAGTCAATTGAGCACGACAGCGGGCACCGGGTCATCAGGTACCGGATCGTCTGGCTCGACAGCAGGCACCGGGTCATCTGGCGCTGGATCATCTGGCTCGACAGCGGGCATCGGGTCACCAGGCATGACCGCGGGCACTGGGTCATCAGGCATTGGATTGCCTGGCTCGACAGCGGGCATCGGGTCACCAGGTATGACAGTGGGCTCCGAGTCAACTGGCATGACCGCGGGCACTGGGTCAGACATTGGATCGTCTGGCTGGACAGCGGGCATCGGGTCACCAGGCATCAGGTCATTTGGCTCGACAGCGGGCACCGCGTCATCTGGCAAGGCAGTGGGCACCGAGTCACCAGGCACGACAGTGGGCTCTGAGTCAATTGGCACGACAGCGGGCACCGGGTCATCTGGCGCTGGATCGTCTGGCTCGACAGCGGGCATCGGGTCACCAGGCATGACAGCAGGCACTGGGTCATCAGGTACCGGATCGTCTGGATCGACAGCGGGCACCGGGCATCTGGCGCTGGATCGTCTGGCTCGACAGCGGGCATCGGGTCACTAGGCATGACAGCGGGCACTGGGTCATCAGGCATTGGATCGTCTGGCTCGACAGCGGGCATCGGGTCACCAGGTATGACTGCGGGCACTGGGTCATCAGGCATTGGATCGTCTGGCACGACAGCGGGCATCAGGTCACCAGGCATGACAGTGGGCACCGGGTCATCAGGTACCGGATCGTCTGGCTCGACAGCGGGCACTGGGTCATCAGGCTGGATCAGTTCATCAGGCTGGATCAGTTCATCAGGCTGGGTACAGGCATCAGGCTGGGTACAGGCATCAGGCTCACCGGTTTGGATACTGGCAGGATGGTACTGGTTGGAAAGAGTTTCCGCTTTTTTCTGGTTTTAACTACTGGGGCACTGCAAGTAAACGCAGGTCTGCAAACGAATGGAGCAGCTGAGGACAGAGAAGAGCTGAAAGATGGAACAGAGGAGGGAGCAGTTGCTACAGAGGACTTCTTTACAGGGTTAAAGAAAGGATAGGTGCAGCGAGTGGGAGCAGAGGACTGGTATGTGGTAGTTAGAGTATACTGGGCAGTATACTGGGGGTGCTGTCGGGGATGCAGGAAGAGTGCCTAGAGTGGAGGAATGATGTTGTAAGCTGACTGAGGCTGGGTGCAACAAGTCTGACCATGTCTGCAGTATGGGTTGAACAAAGCTCAGTTTACACAAAGCCTGTCTGGTCAAAGACTGCACTGCGTTTATACAATCTCTTAGTATCTGTGGTGAACATGCAGAATAACGCTCCAGAAAGTTATCCACATCATCCTCTAATAACCATACCAGGGACTCTACCTGGTCGGCACTAAATGGCAGCAAAAATTCATCCCTGCATTCGGGGGTACCAGATGAAACCAACTCAGCACAAACCTGAATCAATGGCTGCACCTCAGAGAATTCTATGCCCTGATCTACTAGAACATGAGCGATCCGTATACATTCTAGCAGTTCATCCCTGGGATACTCCTTCAGAGTTTGATAAGCATACTCTCTGTCATCAAACACTAGCAGAGATAAATACACAACCTCCTCAAGATCCATCCTTCCCAGCAACAAGCCAAGATGGCTTCCCTGTGCAGCCACTTCTGGTCAGGATTGGCCTTGGTGTAATGTCAGGGCTCCGGGGTGTGACCAGAGGTATGTGACTGACGCAGGGAAATGCAGGCTTCAGATAAGTTATAAACAATATAATTTATTAAAGACTAACAATACAAACATAAACGCAGTGCAATACTAAAACATAACACAGTGCAAACAAACCAAACCAAACCACCCACAGATAACAGTACATACAATGCAAGCGTCGTCAGGCAGGCCGGGTCAATAAAAATCGGGCAGGTAGGTACAGGGGGTCAGGCAGAGAATGGTCGGGGTCACAAGCCAGGGATAAAACAGGAGAAGTCAGCAGAGGTCCGGATCAGGCAGGGTCAGCAATGAATCAGACAGAGACAGGAACAGGGATGCAGGAACAAGATACAGGGCCCAGGAAAAACACACACCAAGGCAGAGACTGCAGGTCTGGCCATCCCTTAAATACACCTGCATGATCAACTTCAGGTGTTTGGCTGGCTGCAGGGTTGAGTCTCTGATTGCCGGGAGCACCCGCTGGCCAGCCCTGGTACTGCAGCCCACAAGGCAGGTGGGTCCCACCATTACTGGCAAGTCCATTCCAGACACTGACACTGTACTAATGGCTCTGGGGAGGAAGGGGTTAACATTTTTATTCAATGAAAGGGTTAACTGTGTGAGGGGAGTGTTTTACTAGTGGGCGGGGGGGGTGTACTTGAAGGGAACACGCTGTCCCGGAAAGCTAATCTCTGCTCTCGGTGACAGTGTGTTAGGAACTGACAGGGAGCAGAGCTGCATTGTAAACAATGCAGCTGTGCTCTGTGTCACTGTTTTCCGGCAATCGCCGGGAACTGGCAGGTAATGACTGGCCGGGACCCGGTGATTGATACCAGCGGCCACGGTAGGCGGCACGGGTAGGGCGGTTGTGCGCCTCGGGCGCGCCCCTACCTGTTTTGCAATATCACGTTTTAAAACGTAATTTTGCTCAGCGGTGCCACTTTGTTGCCGTTTTTCTACAGTGGGTGGACAGCAAGCAGTTAAAGTAACGCAGCGCCGTAACGCAAAAAATGGCCTGGTCAGGAAGGTGGGTAAATCCTCTGGAGGGCAAGTTGGTAAATACCACCAAAAGAAAGCTCTATCTGTCTAAAAAAAATGATAAAAACTTTGTTGGGGTACAGTATTGCATGACCGCACAATTGTCATTCAAAGTGCAACAGCACTGAAAGCTGAAAAGTGGCCTGGACAGGCAGGGGTAAAAGTGCCCGGTAGGCAAGTGGTTAAATTAGGTTTATTAAGAAAAATGACACACTTCCAACACCAGTAAACCATAAGCAATGCAAGTGATAAATAAACGTGACAGTGCAAACCCCAAAACAAACCTAACTACAGTATATACAAAATGGAGGCAACACAAATGAACAAAGCAAAGGGGAGCAGGAAGCAAAATACAAGGAGCAGGTCCCAGGATCTGTAACAAGGCTCTGGCAGGGACACGGCTTTCAGGAAGAATACTGAAGCACTGATTTTCAGTCAAGGCCGAGCTTATTTACCTCCCAGCAGGCCATGTCAGGTGCAGCCTAATTACCTGTACAGGGGGTGCGTGGCTTGGCGCATGGAGCTGTAGGAAGTGCATCCCTGCAGCTGCCAGACTGAGATCTTCCCGCTGGGCTTTTCACCCTCTCTGTGGCACCACCGACACCCGCTATGGGCAGGAACCAGCGCCAGACCCCAAGAGAGCAGCTGGGGGCCCGTCCGACGCCGATTTGGGCCGGTTCTTCGCATGCACAGGGACCTCGGCCCTGCACCCTATGGCCGACAAGATGGCGCCGGTTTCTCCTGCTCCTTCTCCTCCAGACACAGGACCATCACAAAACAAGAAGGTGAGCTCTCACAGCCGCCCCTCCTCTCCTGGGGATCCTGACCAGCTCTCCCAGAGATCCCGCAGCCCCTCTCAGACATCCATTTGTTCCAGGGATGGCTGGGACTTGCAGTCCCACATCAAATCTCTTTCTACGAAGGCCGATTTTGAACTTTGTGTGAAACGTATGTGTCAGGGATCTCCGCAATCCCCGCAGCGATGGTCCCGGCGCAGGCGCAGTGCGCTGCCCTGTGCAGGGACACGGGCACTAGGTCCGGGCCGGCCGCGGCGTTCGAGTTCGCGCATGCGCAGTAGAAGCCGCGGCCGCCCGCTGGGCACCAATGGCAGCGCAGAGCGCGATATTTAAACGACCCTGAGCTGTCATTCAGTGCCTTCTGGTCTTACCTGTATCCTGCGAACCTGTACCTAGTAAGTTGTTGACCCGGATTGTTCTTGACCTGCTGATTTCTCCTGCCCAGACCCTTGCTTTGCCTGACCTCTCTGCTGAATGCCCCTCATTAGATCTGACCTGCTGTTGCTGACCTGGCGTGTGACCCGACGATTCTCTGCCTGCTGCCTTGTACCATACCGTCCTCTCTGTTACCGACTCGGCCTGTCTGACTCCGCACTTGCTCAGCCATCCATCCATCCATCCATCCCATCGGGGTCACCCGGCCTCCTCATATCAGGCTCTCCCCTGTTGGAGCCCCTGGCGAACACCCCTACCACTGACGGGTGTACTCAGTAGTTGCGACCTGGTCTCGGGGTACTCCAAGTCCATCCCCACCATCAGGGGCTCTGGTGAACAAGTACCCTGGGGCTTAGATTCCGCGCTCTGGGGACACCTGACCAGTGGAGTGCTAGTGGTGCCGCTAGGCAGTCCGTTACAGTACCAGAAGGCCATGACTGAGCCTCGAGGAGGACCCTCCCCGATGGAGGAAGTTTGCAGACAGCTGGCTACCCTGACGCAAGCTGTAAACGTGTTACAGGGCAGATGTTTGCAGATTGAAAACCGGTTCCAGTCCTGCACCATATTTGTCCCTGTTTCACAGGCCCCGGCTGTAGCAGCCCATGAGCCAGTTCCCGGGCCTTCCGCATCACTCCCTGTGGCGGAACCCCGAGTACCCTTACCAGAGCGCTTCCACGGGGACCGCACACGCTTCCAGTCGTTCCGTGACTCCTGCCTGCTCTATTTTGAACTGCAACCACGGACCTTTCTGACGGAATCAGTAAAGGTGGGGTTTGTTATCTCCCTGTTGCAGGGTGAACCCCAAGACTGGGCCCACCGACTAAGGGGAAACAATGACCCACATCTTGTTTCGGTTGACAATTTTTTTAATGCTATGGCCATCTTATACGATGATCCACAATGGGCAGCCTCGGCCGAAGCCACATTATACACACTCCGACAAGGCCGGCGAGCGGCAAAGGAATACGTCTCTGATTTTAGGCGTTGGATGGGGGACACACGCTGGGAACGAGTTTTCACTATTGCATCAGTTCCATATGGGCCTGTCAGAGGCCCTGAAAGACGAGCTCGCCCGGGTGGAGGTGCCCGGGAACGCAGGTTGGAGAGGTCTGGACAGGGTCGCGGAAATACCTGGGGGTCATTCCAAGGGTCCAGTCAAACAACTAGGCCAAACATCCAGAACCTGCCGTCTGAAGATGCTCCCGAACCCATGCAGCTAGGCCTGGCACGGTCTAAGCTATCGCCAGAGGAACGCCAGCGCAGAAGCTGGTCACATGGTACGATCCTGCCCGCAGAAACTGAGTAAGTTCACCTCGTCTTCCTTATCTATTGGCAATATGAGTCCGTCCCAATACTTAGTTGTGCCCCGCTCCTTTCAGCTTTCAGAAAGGACCGTGGAGGTGACGGCCATAGTTGATTCGGGGGCATGCAGCTGTTTTGTGGATATCAATTTTGCTCACCAGCAGGGTATCCCCCTCCAACCAAAGGAGAAGGGGTTCCACATCTTTTTGGCCGATGGTTCCTGGATAAAATCAGGGGTGGTTAACCAGGAGACCCCTTCCATTGTTACTTCCATCGCCGGCCAGCACCGGGAGCTCCTCCGCCTGGATGCTATCGCATCACCCCTTTTCCCAGTCATTCTGGGGCTCCCATGGTTACGGGCCCATAACCCCCAAATTGACTGGGAGACTGGGGTAATCTTGTTCCCTTCCCCATACTGTCGGGAACTTTGCCGCACTTCGGGCCCGGAGGTCCCCCAGGTCCTCCTGTGCTCTGAAGGGGATGCCAGCTTAAAACAGGTGATTCCTGCAGCCTATCTTGATTTGATGTGTTCAGTAAACGGGGAGCAGATACTCTACCCCCCCACCGCCCGTATGACTGTCCCGTTGACCTGTTACCTGGTTCAGAGATTCCTTTTGGTCGAATTTTCCCCCTTTCTGAGCTCGAATTAGGGGCCCTGAAGGAATATATTGAGGACAGCCTCCGGAAGGGGTTCATCCGCCCCTCCACTTCTCCAGCAGGGACAGGGATCTTTTTTGTAGAAAAAAAAGGACAAGACCTTGAGACCGTGTATTGACTACCGAGAACTGAATAGGGTCACAATCAAAAATCGTTACCCACTGCCATTGGTACCGGAATTATTCCAGAGTTTAAAGGCTGCCGTAGTATTTACCAAGCTGGATTTAAGGGGAGCCTACAACTTGGTTCGCATAAGGGAGGGGGATGAGTGGAAAACGGCGTTCCGCACCCGTTTTGGCCACTTCGAATACCTGGTCATGCCTTTCGGGTTGTGCAATGCACCGGCCACCTTCCAACACTTCGTAAACTACATTTTTAGGGACTTCCTGGAAATCTTTGTTATCGTCTACTTAGACGACATTTTGATTTTCTCATCTTCCCTGGGGGAGCACAGGATACATGTAACAAGGGTGTTGGGGCGGTTGCAGCAGCATGGGTTGTATGCTAAGGCAGATAAATGTTGCTTTGAGCAGTCTAGCATTACATTTTTGGGCCTGATTATCTCCACCGCGGGGGGTCGCAATGGACCCTCAGAAAAGTCTCTGCAACCCTGGATTGGCCTGAACCCACGGACAGGAAGGCGTCCAACGGTTTATCGGGTTCGCAAATTTCTACCGGAAGTTCATCAAAAACTTCTCGGGTCTGGTCTCCCCCCCACTCAGCTAACCAAGCTTGGGACCCGGTTCAGATGGACGCCAGAGGCACAGGAAGCTTTTGAAGCGTTAAAGAGGTTATTCACCTCCTCAGCACCCATTCTGGGTCACCCTGACGCCTCCCTACCCTACATCTTAGAGGTAGATGCGTCAGAGAACGCGGCGGGTTCCATTCTATCCCAACAAAAGGGCACCAAGGAATTGCTCCACCCGGTAGCATTTTTCTCACGGAAACTTACCCCTGCAGAGAAAAATTACGATATTGGCGATCGAGATTTACTGGCTATCAAGACAGCATTAGAGGAATTGAGGTACCTGCTGGAAGGTGCTTTAGCTGGCCAGCTAAGACCAGTCCTAGGTTGTTAATATGGTTCACATATATGTGTGTATACCAAATCTGCCAATAACCTCAGTACAGTATATATGTGCATATGTAAAAGCCAAAAGCAGAATCATTGCTGTAATTTATGTCTTTGATTGTTATATGACATTTCTATATTCATTGTGTTAGCAGAAGCAGAAAAGGAAAATATGCCTTTAAGAGTTAGTTAAAGGTGAGCCAATCACAGACAGCCTCACACTGTACAGAGCCTTAACCAATCCCAGCCAGTTTCACATTTATGCCTGTGTAAAACTCCCTGCTAGGATTTTCTAGAGACACATGCTCACCAGACAGAGGAGGAAACAGACAAAGTTCCAATCAGAGAAGCTCCATGGAGGCAGAGAAGGCCAAATAGTTCCAACGAATCAAGTCACTGTAGAGTAATCATAATCGAACGAATCCTATCGAATCTATCGAGATAAGCTATCGAATCAACCCAATGTAATACGAATTAAACCATTGTAATATGAAAGAAATAAGCCATTGTAAGCAGTGTTATATGAAGAAGATTGAAGTTATTAAAGAAGTTAACTAAAGTATTCGGTGTGCTCTTTTTAAACCTACTGCATCCATAGAGCGGCATTGGAGGAATTACAGAGTAAAGTCAGTCTAATCAAACAAAGAAACAGCAATTGCATATTTTTTCTAATGCCACAGCGCACTAGGCACCAAAGGGTGCTGCGCCTGCCACAGGTGCCTCACACCCCATCCTGATATTCACAGACCACAAGAACCTGGAATACCTGAGGACCGCCAAACGTTTACGCCCACGACAAGCGAGAAGGGCATTGTTTTTTTCAAGATTACACTTTCATATCACGTACAGGCCGTGATCAAAGAACACGAAACCAGATGCGTTATTACGCATGTACGAGGACGCCAAGGAGATCCCAGTACCCGACACTATTCTGTCCGCAAGGAACTTCTTGGCCCTGCAGACGAACCTTCGCTCCAGGATAATGGAAGCATCCACAGCCATGTCAACCCCAGTTGGGACGCCCCTCTAGAACAAGGGGGGACTCCTATGGAGAGAGGATCGGATTGTGGTGCCAGAGGAAGCCCGAACCCTGGTCTTGGGACATTGCCACGACCACCCCGATGGCAGGACATTTTGGCCCGGTCAAGACCCTGGAGCTTCTCCGACGCTCCTTCTGGTGGCCAGACATGGCCAAGGATTGTAAGAGCTACGTGGGCTCCTGTGTCACCTGCCAGAGGAACAAGCCTTCAAGGAATAAGGCTTGGGGTCTGCTGCGTCCGTTACCCATTCCTGAACGGCCTTGGCAGAAGATTTCAATGGACCTTATAGTCGAACTTCCACCTTCACTAGACCACACAGCAATTCTCGTGGTCGTGGACCGTTTTTCCAAAATGGCCCATTTTGTACCATTACGAAAAACTCCATCAGCAGCCGAGACGTCTCAAGTATTCATTCGAGAGGTTGTAAGACTGCATGGGGTCCCTGAAGACATCGTCTCGGACCGAGGGGTTTACCTCAAGATTCTGGAGGGCACTGTGCAAATCCCTGAATATCAAAACTGTCCCTTTCCTCTGCATTTCACCCTCAGACTAATGGACAGACCGAAAGGACCAATCAGACCCTGGAGCAATACTTGCGATGTTACACATCATTTACTCAGGACGACTGGGTGCCACTTCTCCCTTTGGCGGAATTCGCGTATAACAACGCTTGCCATTCAGCAACGGGGCAGTCTCCGTTCTTTTCCAACTATGGGTTTCACCCTGTCTTCCTCCCGGATTTGGTCCCGGAATGCCCAGTTCCAGCAACACAGGATGCACTAACTTTTTTCTCTTCGAACAACAAGAAACTACAGGAAGCCATCAGTCGGGCCCAAGAAGACTACAAAAAGGCATTCAACAGGAAACGAAGAGGAGATCTGGTGTTGCGGCCCAGAGAGAAGGTTTGGCTGGCTACATCCAACTTGAAGATGCTCTGCCCTTCAAAGAAGTTGGGACCTAAATTTATAGGCCCCTTTTGCATTAAGCGGGATGGTCAATGAAGTGGCCTATGAACTTGTCCTCCCTGATACACTCAAGATCCACCCGGTCTTCCATGTGTCCCTGCTGAAGCCAG